CTCTCCGATCTCACCATGTACTCCCCCCTCTCACCAGCGCCCAAAAGCAGACCCCAAGACGTCACTGCAGTGCCCACCACATGCTGCACCAACAGAGAGAGGAAGGAGGGTTGAGGAGGAGCTGCCAATTGGCAAAGAGCTTCCTATGGACAAGGAGTACGGTCAATAAAGAGTAGTGAGAATGGGGAGGTGGGGGCTGGGGGTGTGGAGGGACTGAGCCAAAAAGAAGAAAAAAGAAAGAAGTGTGGTGATGGGTGGGAGGAAGGGGCGGTGAAGGAGTAGAGGGGTGATAAATAGTGATGGAAAAAGATAAAAAGTAGTATTTATAAAAAGAAGAGTAGTGAGTGGTTTTAGATGCTCACGGAAAGGTGAGAGTGCTTGCAGCCCAGCAACATTTGACTTTGTCTGAAGTATGAACTGTAAAACGGGAAGAGACCCCTGGAGCTAGAGGAATAAAGCTTCCTTCCCAGGGTCCTACCTCCACAAAAGCAGAGCCTACAGCACTAAGAAACACCCTCTCAAATGAGGTTATTTTTACGTGCATCCTCATTTGTGTAGCTTTATGGAACATCATTTATATATCTCAGCATTTTTCAAAAGGAACATAGTTGCACTGAGACTAATGGAAAAATCTCTTCCCTCAAAGGGTCCACTCATGTCAATTCATGGTTCGAAGGTTCTGTGAAATGGGAAGGGGAGGGGTGAAGAGTTGAAGACCGGAGCTAGACAAAGGAGACTGGAAATAAACTGAGGATTATAAGCACATTTAAATAATCAACACTTCAGAGCTCTACACAAATGAAAACTCCATCCTGATTGTAAATATAACTTTCAAGAAACAGCTTCATGGCAAAGAAGGAAAGTTGACAGCTCATTCAGTCCTGTGGGGAAAATGAAGTTCAGAAAAAGAAAAAGCCAAGAATGAAGAAACAAGGCCACTACAGGCCTCTGAACTTCCGAGAACATGAATGAGCCTTTTTCACGTATCATCCCAAGTAATTATGTAAACTTGCCATTTTCAATTACAAGAGAGCCCTTCCAGCTAACTTAACCCAAACATACCTAATACAAGGTCTCAGTCTTTCAACTGGCCTGTTCCAGAAATTCCAATTCCTCAATGGCAGATTTCCACACTATGTTCTACACTTGAGCTTCTCCCCCAAATGGAAACTCACCCAAAATAAATTTTAGAAATGACGACAGAGTGAACTCGACATTTCACAATTTAAGTATCAGGAAGCGAGGTGGCTGTAAGTTGATATTTCTGACTGCAAAAAAAGAAAAGAAAAGAAAAAAACAAAACCAGCTTCTTTTTCCATGCCCTTGTCTTCCTTACCAAGCTTTAAAGATGGAGGCAATGTCTATCCGTTGTGGGAACGTGGGCTTAGGACAGCACCTTGCTCAGAGCAGCTGCTCAGCAAATTGGGTGCGCATTTTAATGTCCATCCTATGGCCCTGTTCCCTTCGAGTTTCACCCTGGATGGTGCTCTCACTGACACCATAGAAAGAGGCTCACTGATTAGAAACTGGAGGGAATTCCTTTGCAAAGTACTTCTGTGCTAACCAATAACCACCTGCTATAGTCCCCAAGACAGTCACTGGAGCTGACCTCACAGCAGCTAGTAAATGCTTGGCAGTTATAAGAGACCCCCACCATTCCCCAAGCAGAAAGCATTGCAGCAAGGCATAGAAGCTCCTCTCCCCAGCCCAGCTCAAGAACCCTAGTTGGAGGGTTCTCATTTGTCCTGAGCAGTTAGTCACTTAGTCCAGATAATTACCAAGTGGTAGAAGGAAATTACTTGTGACATTCTATTTTTAAAATGTGTACGAAATGATAAATTAATTTCTTTGTTTTTAAGTAATTGAATATATACTACAGATCCAAAGGCAGAAAATGGAAAGAAGTTCTAAGGCTGGAGCCAGAAAATATGCCTACTCTGCCCAGTGATGCCACTTATCTGTGACCTTGAACATGCCACCAAACTGTCTCTGCCTCCCAGAGGTTCAGATGAAATCAGAGTTCAGGAAGGCTTCAGAGCCCTGGGTAAGCAAAAGGTGCTGGCACTATCATTGCCAAGAAGTGCCCAAGAGAGGTTTGACTTGGCTTTGATCAATGCTCCTATTAATGATTGTGGTGACGTTTCAATACTAATACCATCCCTGTCTGAGGATCTCAGCAATGTGAGTGAGCTGTAACAATGTTCCATGCTCTGGATGTGTGTACATTGTATTCTTCTTTATACAGATTTAAAATCAATGTTTTTATTTTTGGGTAATACAGTTTGATATTATGAAATGATAACTCCATGGATAACAAATGGATAACTCCATTTGAACCAACTGACATCTCATATGTTTTTGGTGATTTATTTCTGCATACAAATATAATGGGACTAAAAGGCTTTGAAAGTCATTCATTGGCAAAACTGCTGGACTACTTTTCTGCTAAAAGAATGCCATGGGGGTCAGGGGGCAACGGATATCACAAATTTCCCTCATACCTTTGCAACACCATGCCTCTGTAAGTTAAACTGGGTCTCTCTGAGTTGAGCAAACGGTTGCAGGCTACGTCTTACAGGGCAAATCCAGCCCCCTCTCCAGGTGGATACAGCAGAATCACCACTGCTGGGAGGAGCTTCCCACTTAGAGTACTAGCACTGGTATAACCTGATAATCCAAAAAGTCCCTCAAATCCCCATTCTAGAAACCAGGACAGAGGGCCAGTAGGCTTCAAATGCCCAGCCCTATTCCTTCTGCCTTGCTCGGGGCCATTCTTCCATCCCTTCTTCCATGTAATCCAATTGCGTGATAGGTTCCCACGCTAGTGTTCCAGACAAGACAGATAAAGCTATTGTCATGGAGCTTTCTTGTCATTGTTAAGACTACACACATGGGGGCAAGCGATAATCTAACTCTCTATAACTATGGTCACTGTCATAAAGGAAATGCTGGCTGAATTAATGACTCAAGTAACTTATACCACATCACAGCTCTGGTAAATGGTTCCAGAGACACAAACTCGGGTTCCCTGACTGCTGTTTTCCCTTCCATCACGCTCTCCACCCTTCTCTCAGGAACAGGGTTGCCCCACTTCATCGAAAGAGGCGCAGCCACCAAAAGCTTCTTGTGATCAAATCGCATTTCTTCAAGACTTCCTTATCCCTAAATGGAAACCAGGGCCTACCTGAATCCCACCCTCTCCCAGCAAGCCTGCCCCACTCACGAAGGGCTTTGGGTGCGCAGTAAGCACCTGTGCTGTCAGGGCCTACACCATCCCACACTGACTGAGGGGGTTGGCAGTGCGGACAGAAACCGCCCCCCCCCACCACCACCTGGCCAGCTGCTGGGGGCAGCCAACAAATTAAGGGCAAAAGACAAAAATACCAAAAACAAACTATGCAGTATCTGACCGTGAATGAAGTAGTCCATAACAAGATTTTAAAATTAAGATATAATATCAAAGAGTGCACTTTAAAATTATTGATATTCATAAGTACCTTACATTTACTAAATCATGTCCTTCATAGTTCTTGTACTTTGTAAAAACACTTTTTATATTGTCACTACATAGAAATGTATAAATCGCCAAACAACTTTTGATGGAAAATTTAAGACCTTTATTTCACCAAAATATAGTAACTATTTTCCAGTCAGGAAAAAACTCTACCTTCTCTAGTGTGTCTCATTTGCAACAATTTCTGGTTCTCTTTAAAACTGAATTACCACTGTTGAATTATTGTGAAGAGGATAAATTAATTTTTAAAAAACGAAAAGTATGTCAAACATCCTTACTGGCTAGCTGGTAGGGTGGGCCAGACTTTTGGGTCCAGCTTTGCGACAGTAAACCTCTGGTATATTAAGCAGATTTTCTAATAAGGCCGGGTGGTTTTAACGGACAGATTCGAAATCATCAAATTGCAAACAGCCAGGGAGACTTATTTTTTACAGACATAATTATTTGCAGTAAATAAACGCCATTCATGAAATGTCTGGGACGTGTTTGGGGCTTTACGTGCAATGAATGGCTCAGGAGATGGGTGTGTTCTCCCAAAGACGAGGAAAACCCAACTGGGAATTGCAGGCATCGGCCCAAGTTCACCCTCAGCCAGGAACCTGCGGGACCCGCCCGCATCCAGCTCGGGTTTGAGACAGTAAAGAAGTTGCCTGGGCTTTGGGGTGGACACACTCGCAGACGGAGTCCTAGGACCGCGGGAGCACGTCGGCTGTTGGAAGGCACTGTACCAATGCTCAGCACTCAAAAGCCGACACAGTCGGTCAAGATAACGCAGGAAAGTGGGAACTGAAGCTGACACCCTTCCCCCAAGGCGAAGGGAAGACAACCCCTGAATTCTTAAAATAACTCTCGCTTCCTCTCAGAGGCGGAGGCACCGGACTGTTGCTCTGCGGGCTCCGAGGCGCCCGGCTCAGCCGGAGGGCGCGCAGGAGCCTCCGCCGCAGCCCCCAGACGTCACGTTCCCGCGGGGGCTCCCCGGGAAAGCGGCCGCCCGCGGTCCCAGGCGAGGGCCAGGGCCGAGCCCCGCTCCGGGGGGACCCAGGGCCCAGCGGGGAGCCCAGTGCGTGTGACCTGAGAAGCCCCCGCCCGGCGGCAGCCCGGATCCCCGCCGCGCGTGGAGAAGGGATCCCCCCGGAGCTCCGGCGGCGACGGGAGCCGGGCTGCGGCCGGAGGAGCCCCCGCCCCTGCGCCACGCCCCTGCGCGGCTCCGGGGGAGACACCTGCGGGGCTGCCCGCCCCTCCCTCCGCCCGCGCACCCCCGCCCTGAGCCGGGTCACCCGCGGGCCGAGGGCGGCTGGGCGCTCTCACCGGCGGGCTGCGCGCCAGGGCGGCCGGGGAGCGGCTCGCGTCCCTCGCTCCCGGCCCTCGGCGCCCGGTCCCGGGCAGACCTCACGTCCAGGGCGGACTCCCGCCAAGGCACCGCTGCGGCCCCGGTGGGTCCGCCGGGCGCCCCCGCCCACCCCCTGGGCTCGGGCCCCGGACTCACCAGCTCGCGGGGAAAGTTGCGGCTCCGCGGCGGCGGCGGCGGCGGCGCTCCACTGTGACTTGAGTTCCGAGCGGGGGACGCGACGGGGCGGCCCGGCGGGGCCGCGTGGAGAGGTGCTGCGGGCCGGGAACCGAGGGCGCGCGGCCTGGGGCTGCGGGCTCGGGGCCGGGGTGGCGCGGCCGCCCCGCTGGCCGCGCGGTCGGAGGCTGCAGCGCGTCGGCCCGCAGGAGCCACGGCCCGGAGCGAGCGGCGGGCGGCCCAGCGCGGCGGCGGAGGAACTGGCTGTCGCCGGGCTCGGCCGACGGGTCCCAGCCACTTCCTGGTGCTCGGATTTGCATACGGCGCCCGGGGGGCGGGGAAGTGACCGTCCGGCCCCTGCCCAGGGTTCGGATCTCCGGCGTGGCTGCCTCGCAGAGTTCTGATGGCAGAGAAACCTGGCGTCTTAGTGTGCGGCTGGGGAGGGTGGATCGGCCTCGGGCCCGGCGTTCTGTAGAGACGACAGGAGCATCTTCCAAGGAGACCCTCTAAAGTCCTTGTCATCAGCAAAACCTCTCCAGTCTTCTTCTTTTCCCAACTGCTCCCCAAGGTGTTAGAAAGTGGGATGGCCCTGGAAGCAAAGGGGACGCACTCTGTTCCCACGACATTTAGAGGTCGGTAGAGAGAGGGCGAGATGTGCCCAGTTGAAGCGCAGAGTCTAACTGAGTTCTTAGAACAGAGTAAGAGCCTGAAGAGGGACGTGCTGCAGGGTATTGATGTGAGGAAAGAGGCCGTGGAGTTAAATGGCCTGGCAATTACTCAATTCCTCAAAACTAAGATTTCCTCCCAAGAAATTGGAGATAAAGATGCCTACTGTGCGGGGTTAATGGAGAGGAGGAAATGCCTTCTGTAAAGGGCTCGCACTGTGCCTAACACACAGTAACGGTCGCTGTCATTCTTTCATTTCTACCATCTTTGTATCCCACCTGTAAACACTGCATTTGGCACATGACAGGTGTGCCAAAGAATGACTGCCTCTTCAACGTCATGTTCCAAGTCAGTAAATGCCACTTCCAAATCCAAGATGTAATATTAGTCTCAGTCACCGCGGATGTCCGCGTGTAAGCCAGAGTCTGCTCACTGGGATCCAGGCATTGCACTGCACTGTAGAATTTATAAGGAAATGAACAACACCATGTGGAAAAACTTAGTCTTTGTGTTAATAGGAAACACTTACATGGGGACTATCAGGTACCAGACTCAGGACTAAGGACTTAAGATGGATTGATTACCTTTTATTAAGAATTTCCTTAAGAGGCTGGCCCTACCTAAGAAGGCTACAGCCACAGTTCAGTAGCCAGGTCAGCCACCTTGTAACACAATCCATACATCAGCCATTTGTTACTGGTAAGAGGGTAGAAAGGTTTGCAAACTCCTGCCTTAAGTGGAGGGCGAGGGGAAGCAGGGTGGGTTATACCTAATGATGTTCACTAGTTGTCGTAGTCAGTTTCCTGCTGAAGAAGAGGGATTGGGTTACCTGTTAGAAGGTGTTACCTGTTAAAATGTATGAGTGAATCTGTCATGGATAGATATATGAAGTAATTCACAACCTGAGGCCCCATTTCCTGAACTTTTCTTCACAATGACCTGTGAAATATATTGGCCATAAATTAAAATATCTGCTACTCCCAATGACTCCCTGATATCCTCTCCAAAGACACGTGGTGGTGAAGAAGGGGATGCAAAATGTTTGGTGTTGATTAATCTATCTGGAATATCCTGTGTTTTATTTTGGGGGGAAATGTTTCTTACTCTATTGGAGTAAGAAACAGAAGTATCCTCAGGCAGACCTGGGCTTGCACCCAGCTCCGTCACTTCTAACCCCTCGCTCACAAGCGTCCTAGTTCATCACTTTATTCCTCGGGAGCACGTACAGTGGGCAACATTCATTGTAATCTACACTTTGGCCAGTTTTGGCGTTGTCTGCCTTTGTTTCACATGTTAACTTTCAACTCCTGGTAGACAGTAAACCCCTTTTTAGAAGGCATTGTTCTCAAAAATTCTGTTAGGTGTTTTAAAACACTTCATTAGTATTGATGGATTGGTTCATTGATTGATGGACTGAGTTGTCTCAACAGTACTTTCTTCTGAGAATTGAGCACAGAATGGAATGATTAGAGGCAGGCTGCAAATCAGCGAAGATTCCTTCTCAGGGTAAGCAGCTTTTGCAGGAGATGAGGGATGATGGGACCGAAGATGACAGAAGGAGCAAGGAGTGGACATAGCATCAACTTTTGTATAGTCCATCCACATTTTCTCAGATTCTGTATTTGCAAACCCACTTACTCACTGAAATGGGTTTGTAACCCCCAAATCAATCCTTACAGCACTTTCGCAGTCATTCATGGACGTGAGCACAGCAATAAAAATTTGAGTTTCTTCATGCTCACATTCCCAGCTAAGGTCAAACAAGCGATTCTCTGCCTTTTCGTTTTAGCTCCTCTGCAATATAAGCACGAAACACGTGGCCTTTATGCGATCAGTTTAGTGCCATGATTTTTTGCGTTTTTATGCTTTTTGTTGGTGATTTCACTGTTTCGCTGCCACCAAGTGTAGTGCTGAAGTGTTGTCCCCACAACCACAAAAGGCTGTGATGTGTCATGTGGAGGAAATATGTGTGTTAGAGGAGCTTGGTTCATACATGAGTTACACTGCTCTTGGCCATGAGTTCAGTGTTAGTGAGGCAACAATATATATTAAATAAGGTGTATTTAAACGTCACACATAAAACAAGGCTAACTATAAGTCAATTGATGAAAGTGCAGTGACCAGAGGCTCACAGCAACCTAACCCTATATTCCCCTTAGGAACAATGGTTCAGTATTAGCTAATGCATTGTTTGTGGCAACTTTAAAAACTGTAACTACTGCACATAATGAGAATTGACTATGCATGAGAACATACCATCAACTGTTGGTTGGGAGGAAAATGAAATGCCTGACCTCAAGGAAATTCTCCCTCATCGCATACCTTCATCATCACATGTCTGACCATGGTCCTCGAAGACGAGATTGGTCACTCTCAGTGCACACTTTCACTACCCACCTTGCCATGTGATCTGCAGCCCATCCCACTGCTACAGTGCGGACTGTCCCTTGTGCTCCTTCTGTTCTTCTGGGAGCTTCCCTCCAGGGGTTCAGACACCTCAGCCCAACTCAGGGACTCTTACAGATCATCTGCACAAGCCCTCTAGTTGGCCTTGCTGGAAGGGGAAGAGTAGAGACTAAGATTCTCTATCTGACTATTACAAATATAATTATAGACCTGACTTCTGAGACCTAAGTAGCAAATAATACAGAGCAGTGGCACTCAACCCTGTTGGCATGTGAGACTCTCCTGCCCAGGCCCTATCCAGATAATCAAATCCAAGTTGGGGGATGGGGGACGATAAGGTGAAACCTGATCATCCGAAGCTTTAAAGCTCCCCAGGTTGTTCCAGTGAGCAGCCAAGATTGGGATCCACTGTAAAAGAGCCTCAGACAAAGCCCTGGCTGGTGTGGCTCAGTGGATTGCGTGCCAGCCTGTGAACCAGGAGGTCACTGGGTTCCATTCCCAGTGAGGTCACATGCCTGGGTTCCAGGCCAGGTCCCCAGTTGGGGGTGCACAAGAGGCAACCACATACTGATGTTTCTCTTCCTTCCCCTCTCTCTAAAAATAAATAAACAAAATCTTAAACGACAACAACAGACATCCCAGGAGAATATGGGTTATGTCTGCCAGACAAAATGTGTCTGCCTACCACCATCTTCCTAATAAAATATACTAGAAGGCCTCTCACCTGACGCATTCGGGACTGCTGATTCAAAAAAGTCATTCAAAGTGGGGAAATCATAAAAATGATGTCAATGTGCCCTATACATTTTACTGGAACTTCACCTAAAGTATATTCACTCACTGCCGATTTCTTGTCCGGTGCCAGGGTGTTTCCTCTGACCACAAGTCCCCTGCTAGGCATTCTGTGTCATCTTCCTTACCTAAATGACACCTGTGAAACCTCACCTCTGATTTCTCATTATGCCCTGGTGGAAGCAGAGCATGGGCCTGTAAAGTTCTCTCACCCACAGCCTCTTGCCTTCTGCAGCTGCCTCACCAACATCTAATTCAGAAGAGTTATTTGCTTTTACAATTTACCTACGATAGTTTCCAAATATTCGATTTGGTTCACCTAGAAGCATTTTCCTTCATACTTTTAAGTCACTATTAATTAAATTACCTTTTTGTAGTAGCACAGATTGACATAAAAACCACTGGTGTTTGGAAAAGTACATAAAGTATGTATGCATTGCAGAGAGGAGAGGGTTTGCATTGCTGGAGAGATGGAGCACTGTTTTGCAGAAGGAGCCAGGGTTGGTTCTTCCATAGTTTCTCTGGGAAGAGGTTGATTCCTGAGACTTTCTGTCACAACTACCACCCCGCAACTGGGCAGGTCGTGTTATGTTAAAGCCTCCAGCCAATCCTTAGGACAACCAGGCTGTATTTTCTATGCTGCGTAGATACTAAGAAGACCTCCAAAATGGTAGGTGACTCACTCAAATTCACCTTGCTGAAGTGGCAAGCACTGGATTAGAACTCCTTCTCTCTGTCTGACTGACATCGAAGTCCAAGCTTATACCCTTAGTTTATAAAGCCTTCGACAAAGTTGGGGCTTGTCAGCTTGACTAGCCCCGAAAAAGCACAGTGTGCCTGACAGCAAACAGAGCTAAAACTAGACTGAGTCCTTCTTGGGCTTTGGACATATAATTTTGTGAATTATACATAAAATGTATAATTTTACATTATAATGTAAAATTCTTTTACATTGTAAAGGAACAACCAAGCTACCTGAACAAGAAATTGTTGAAATAGCCAAATGATAAACTAATAACAACAATAACATAATTAGAATTAGAATCTTATCAAATTTACAGCAACATTACTTTGCCAGTCAGTGATACACAAGATTGTGCTACATGGTAACTAGACTAAAATGGTAAACTACTCATTGAAGGATGGTCTCATGTAGTCAGATTGGGCATTTCTGGGGTCTACTGAAGCAGGCCCAGAAATTAA